TGAGTGATATGGTTGGGTGTCGTGAACAGTGGCGACCATGCATCTACGCCTTATTCCTGCAACCCCAGTCCACATGAATTCGCTATCTTCCGCTCCAATTTGCTCTCAACATTCCAATTTCATTCGTTTATCTAAATGGTCGATCACAAGACAGCAACCAGAACCGGCGATCTGTGATGCACGGAGCATGCCACATCCATGATTTGTTGGTACTACAGACAGCAACTCATGATAGAGCTCTCGAGCATTGGATACCCTCACGTTACCGACTTGATGTAATCGGTTCCGCGTGCCTACATCCAAGTTTTGTTTTCAATCAACCCGTTATCCAACTACAAACTGCAGGCAACCACGGTGTCAGTTAAACAGATAGATGGAGAGGAAAATTTTGTTGGTCGAAAGAACGAAGTTTGGTTGTGTCAAAAATTGATACAATTAGGTACAAAGTAGGAGAACGGGTGCCAGTGTGATGGGAAATGTATGGTCCCTGTTTCTTCGGGAAAGATATGGACAAATTAAATGCAATCCTTTCGTGAGGATTGTGGGGAACAGGGAGAGGATTGGGGTGGGGTGGGGTGGGGTGGAGATGTTCATCACGCATTTTGCATTGGTAACAACACACATCCAGGACAGGAATGCACTGAGTCATGTAGAAATGCATCACAGGCATGACAGAAGTGAGACTGGCAATGTGTGCAACGATAGCTCTGCGTTATTGGACAAAGGGGTGATCGTGTCATTGATTAGTGATGAGGGGGAGGGAGGCGAGAAATAAACAAAAATGACAAACAAATATTAAAAACCAGCAACAATTCGGTGGAAACGTGGCAATTATTAAAACAACGAGAAGATATGTGTGTATATATTTCAATCACACGCAAACAAAGAGGTCGTGGGCAGTAAGCCATTATACCTGCGTGAATGTCAAAGAGGATAAATTCCCTTGTGAAAACCAAAAAATAAATAGTCTAATCGCAATCCACCCAGGGCTGCTCGACGGCATCACACACTGTTGGTAAAAAGATGAGAACTCCATTCCGTTGAGGTGAATAACACACAGATCTATCCAACTGGCTGGAACTTCGTTCACAGCGAACAAAAGCCAAGCAAAACTATTTCCATATCCCGAATCAACACGTGATTATCACACCAAAGCCATTATTCAAAGGAAATTTTGCTAGTTTCTAGCAGGAATAAAATTCTACATGAGAATAGCTGATGATTCGACTCAAGTACATGTTAGATTTAAGGTGAATGGGAAAGCTAAGAAGTGCAGTAACTGCTTTAATCTAGTTGAGTCTAAACAGTAGCGACAAGCCATCGATCCAACTGGGTTGTGGCCGGTGACCGATTGAAACGTCTACTGCACATGTTCATAGAATTATTGATCAATTGATCGATGCTGTCTACCACCAAACACAAACACACACAAGCATACCACACGGGCTTATTCTAAGATCTATCCATCTCAGCCAAGCAATAAGCGGTATTCAGCTGTCCGTGTTGATTGATCTGTTAACGGCTTGGCTACCCTGCATGACTGCAATCTGATGGCACGTCACGCCTGTGTTTGCTTCTGTATTCAGTGTTGCGAACCGCCTGAGTGTTGACGCCCCTGTTTGCCTACTGGTTCTTAGGTCGGCTGCATGGACACCTGGTGCGAATAAACGCACTGCCAAGAGGTTACTGATCAACTTAAACGGAACACAACAGGATTGAACCCAATACCTCACAGAATGAACGCAAACATACCTACCACCACCATGCAGCTGATCAGACCGCTTATGAATGCAGAGAAAAACCAGCTGATCAGTTGTCCATTGGTTAAATGGTTGGCATGTTGGCTAACTACTTGTGAGCGCCCATGATTGATTCTGTTTTCAATCGAAGGAGTCGTAACGCTTATGAGATCGAACAAAATCCAAGCAGCTGTAAAGTGGTGATTCCTAGCTGTTTTCAGTTCGTGCTTCAGATCAGAGGCATGCCCAAGTAGAAGATAAACACCGTGATCTATCAAATTAGAGCAGTAACACAAAAACTTTTTATTATGAAAAACTGTATTGGTTGGGGTCCAGGTTACCAAATACTCTTTACTGGAATGCTATGTTGTGAGGTGTTACTCATACTTGAGAGTAGTTTACAAGCAAAAAGAAGTGGTCGTTGGATTCCCACGGAATTCGCCAGTGGATTGAAGGATTTCACTTTCGTAACTACGGAAAATGCGTATCTACTAACGAACTATTCCAGTAATTATCCTGTGTGCTTGTGAGACATTTTGTTGTATGTATACCAATTTGTCGATATCTTTATCATTGCCATAAATAACTCTCCTCGACCCGGCACTGCCTTGTGGATTTACAACAGCTGGATTGACCAAGGCAGGTAGTAGTTGGAGGAAGACCTACGGTTGTCCTCAGTTCTTTGCTTAATCTTCTTCGACAAAAATGCTGGCCAAAAGAGAAAGCACGGGAGCTCAGTTTTATGCAAACAAAACTCAAAACATGAGCATGTACGATAATATATAAACTTGAAAAGATCGTGCGACACAGAAACGATATTTCAAATCGCATCTTCATTTTGATGCAGTCATCATCCCAGACAGATTGTGTGTGAACCGAATTTTGTGGACAAGAGTGAATGAGAAGCATCCAGGAAAGCATATATTCCTAATTTTTTATTGATCCATATCACAGAATAGAATCAAGTCTAGTCGGAAGTGGTTTAACTGCTTTTGTTGTTTGTTTGCATCCGTCTGCAATAGCCTACATTGTGGCTGAAATGCAGTCAATTTTCTGCCATGTCGCATCACTCGTGGATTCCCCCCCAAAAAAACGAGTAACTTCCAGAAACTGAGATGGAGAATGTTATTCAGCACCATACACCTTAAAGTAGCATGAAAAATCGCTTCCGGTATTTGTGACAAAATGATATATTGCCTACTGCAAATATGCAGTCTTACGTAGTCTTGATACATAGAAAAATGCTATCTTCTAAAACATTCTAAATTCGTACACTGCATGTGGCTTGCTGCCCTTTTTCAGTTTCAAAAGTTTAGTTATTCCCAAACTACCTATCTATAAATTGATGCAGTAAGTTCTCTGGCTCTCTGATAGAAATAACTTTTGGCACATTCATTACTTCACATTCCTATCCTTCTTTTCCTTGAAATACCAAGCGATTTTGATACAAAGCTCTAATTTGTACCTGGTTGATTCAGCATATTCAACACACTATTATTCTATCTGATAGATCGGTGCTTTCTTCCCTTCACGTCATTTGACAGTGCCTTGAAATGATGACATATGTGTATGCGTTCCTCAAAAGGGTTAAGCAATCAGCGAAAGGTATCATGTGTACTTTACACTAGGTGAAACGATATTCGCTGAATGCGATACTACACATCGGGTGGCCAATGGCTAACCGAGAGATTGGGCAACGATTAACTGAGTGCATTTCAGGAATCGCGACCTACTAAGGGGATGTATGGCATAGTCAAGACCTACGGTACAACGTTACGGTTACAACCCATACACTTGGTTTGGGTTCGTTAAAGAGTGAGAACATGCGACCTGTTATCGGTTCGGCAGAGCAGGAGATTGAGTGTACTATGCAACTCACCGGAAGCGATTTGGGAAGTCGGACAGCACAACCGGTACACCAAGTATCTTCCGCACTGGCTGTTTTCGAATTCGCTGCATCGTGTTGTGAATCGCTTGACTGATTCGGTTGAACAGTTTCGAAGTTGTCCAACGGGAACAAATGATGATAGGCTCGAGCCAGATGCGGAGCAGCGACCAGTGTCAAACCGCAAACAGTGCACTCGATTGGCAATTCACAATAGGCTGCACGACATCGAGGACAGGCGTATTGCGGATGTGTGCTGATGCCTCGTGCCGTATCTGTCCCGCTGCTTAGTGTATTCAAGTGGCTAAAACGAAACGAACAGTGCGACTAGCGGAACATTCGTTCCTTGGGGAATTCACGTTATTCGATAGATCAGTGAATGGACTGAAAACGTACTGCTTCAGCATTCCATAAAAACTTCAGCCACCTATGTGAGTCGTGAGATAATTACATATATCAACCCACAGGTACGGACGCAAACGCACATGCATCGCCATCAATAGTGAATCATTAGGTGTTGTTTTGCGAACGACCAGCAACAATGTACGAGAGCATGTAAAGTCAAAGTTTGATTATGGGCGATTTAACAAAGCTAATGCTTATCATGCCCCACAGGGTTTTTACAGAATGTTTTGAACAACTTTGCAAATAGAAGATAATAATATATATGATCACTCACGGATGTTGAAATGTTAGGTGTTCTAATGCTATACCATTTGAATAATTCAGTTGTAGGAGCACAAATAGCCTCCAAAAGCTTTAGTATGGTAAGGGGTGGGTGTCTCGGGTTGTGGCTGGCCGCCCTTTCCTTGCATCGCGCGAAATGCTCCCATCAAACCAACTGTCTCAAACAGCCTCTGAAGAGAAAGCCCAACTCACTGCCTTCCCATGGAGGAGGTGTTTTACTACTAAAGTGAGAGGACGAAAAGCCAACATCCGGGGCTGTTACCGGGTTGGTGGACCATTGATAGTTCACCCAGAAGAGTTGATTAAAATTCCTGGTCCCGAACCAACCAAGAGGAGGCTTGCGAACCATACACACCTTTCCCGTTGTAGCAGTGGTCACCGGCTGGATTGGGCACCTCGGGCCCCGTCCGAAGGGCGTATGATCCGATGAACTGGACACCGGTTTTCACACACCACCCCGCTGCCTCGCGGGTCAGGCTTTGGTTAGACGAACGCTCCGGTTGTGGATCCCTCAAAAACATTCACCTGCCTTGGCCTGGGCAATCTGGCAGTATTCAATCCACATGTAAATCATGTAACGTTTTTCTTTGTTATAAAGATTATTGTATCATGATTTATCTGGCACACAGTTTGGCTTCAGACGTGTGTGAAATATATATATCTGTATATTTCATAATAAATAGTATGTGAATGACTGGACAAAATTTCCCTGGAAGCACACGACCGGTTTCGTGGTTCTTGCCGCCCCTCAGGCATGCGCATCCGGTAATCTTTTGTCAGTTAATTCATATACTTGTACCCAGGAAGTGTATTTTCGTATATAGATATATATATAAGCAAAAATAACATAGAATAGAAAAGAATTCCATACACCACAAACTCCAACCTTAAACCAGTGATGCCGGCAATCTAGGTGACTGTTCTGGGTCCTCAACTTCAAAGGAGGTCCTCTGAAATGATTATTTTGATATAAAGTCAACACAGAGCGCCAGGATGTTTGGGCTAATTCAGTATGTGACATGTCGACATTAGGTCCCCCCCCGAAGTTGACGGTACTGCGATCAGTAAAGGTTTCTCACGAAACAAGAGCTATAATCTACATAAAGACACTCTTATGAGCGGCAGCTGGTGCGCCAGTGAATACCGATACCGTGATCATCATATATCTCAACAAGTAGCACATGACCATGCAAGGATTAAAGGCTCTTCCTTGGGAAAGCTGTGTGTTACTACGGAAGATTCAGTTTGTACTAATCTCTCAAAACTCTTCATGCATGCATCCATAAAACTGGTCTAACCTCAAATGGGACCGAACTCCTTAAATGTAAAAGCGAAGTAATAATGGCCATGTATAAACTGATACGTATAGAGCGTAGTTACCGCCAGCTTTTAGAAGTTTTGATTGAATATATAAAATTTCAACTACAAACTAACCACACACAGTGTACAAACACCGCAGGGCGAAACAAACATGACCCGAAAGGAACGGTGCACTTTTCGGTGAGGGGCTTACCAAATGCATCGTTTGGTTGAAAATCGATCCAAATCGAATGTCTCTGAGTGCGGAAAACCTGAACCAGAATAAGAGAGACAAACAATATGGAATGATCTATACGTGATGTGAACCCTGGTGATGCTAATGGGAATACAACTGACACCAACAATCTTCGATCGCGACCAGTGGAAGTAGAGTATCAAAGGTGGATGGTGCAACGAAATTTCATAACTAGTTACCGTAGTGCAACTGCATGGATGGTAGTTATTTTATCTACTTTTAGTGGAATGATTTAGTGACTACGCACACACTAGGTTTAACGTATATCATGGGACCGTATTGTACAACAGTGAATTCTTTCATGGTTGAAACTAGTGTCATATGATGAGTTTATTAGAGCTGCACCAAAGTGAGCATGGTGAGCTCTTTATCAGAAAAACGACGGACTTTGACTAACAGAGCGGCCCACAGAGTTATTAGCAAGCATAGTGGAGGAGGCTGATGGGTGACTGAGACTAGTTTGGGGGAATTTTTTTCACTACTGTGTTCCTTGTATATCATGAGAAGCAAAGAGACACGCGAAATATCCGGGGTGTTTCAGTGACACATTGATGAGGATGAAGAACCGGACGGTGGTGGTTCGGTGTTAACATCAGCAAATTATCGCCGCGAGAGGACGTGCGTTCGAATCTCATCATCATCACCACCACTTGACTTTCACCCCCCCCATTGCGTGTTGAATGGCAACCCTTTGATTGGTTGCTTACCCCTTCCTTAAATTTGTATCATAATGCAATTGATAAAAGTAAAAATGAAAAAAAAACAACGTACGCACAACAGGAATAATAGACAGAACGGTTAGTTAACCAGGGAGAACATCAGAAGTTTGAAATCCAGAGCGACAAACTAAACTAAACAAATGGGAATGATATCGGGAATCGATCGAGAAGACCGTGTTGATGACACACCATGGGTGGTGGTGATCAGGTGACCAAAGGCACCAACTTGTCACCGGTGAGATCGCGAGCTCTAACCCTAATGCGGCTGACTAACTATTTCTTTGTCTCAATGCCACATAGTAGACCTTTGATTGTCCGCCGCCCTAGTCCTGAGGCAAAGATCATCCAAATATGTATTTAACGAAAAAAGGCAGATTAATATCAAGGAAATGACAGGGTTCAGCAAATCCCATCAGCGGTTTGTACTCCATCGTTGATATAATATAGTGGTAGCGTAGTTCAAGTGAATTAGGCTGCTGTCACTGGCGTTCTCCTATATTTAAACCTCAGCTTGTTGTGAAGTGCTACTCACATTTTTGCGTAGTACGGCTAAAGTGCGCAACAGGGTGATGGTTTTTCACAATGGTGGAAAATAAACAAGAATTCCTGGGGCGATTAAGTGTGTTTAAAACCGTTACTACAGATAATGACGGACAGTTCTATCAAATAGCCTAATGTATACGGAAGTTATAATTGACCTGTTTCAGATGGGACGTTTCGCTCTATGTAATCCAATTCATCGATACCGTAATCGTTGTTCCTAATAAACAACTTTCCTCGACCGGCAATCTTCTTGTAGAATTATAACAAGCTTTGATTGTGGACAGCATCGTTGTCACAGATTATCGTGCGCCTTGTATCTTTATAGGTCTACATATATTTCGTCGATCCAAGTGCCAGGTTTTTCGATAACCGACTCCACGAGGAAACCTTAGGTCTTTGTGAGTATTGGGTTCATTTCACATAATCTGATAGAAAGTATAATTTTTAAATTAAAATAATATTGTTAATCTCCTTTCCTTTGAGGTGTACGTGTACGTATACAAAGGTACGGTCAGTTTCAGTTTTCACAACCATTAACCACGCACATTCGTGCACCGGTTTTGGTTGCTGTCTTTTGGCTGCCCATTTAGATGAAGAATACGAGAAGAAAGGAAAGTGCAGTCGAACAGAAAATGGAGAAGTTCGATGGTCGAAGGTTGCATTGCAAAGCCAATGCCGCTCAAACGTAAAGAGAGCGAGAGAGAGAACAAAAGGCGATGATTGTGATTGATTCAAACATTGTGAGAACACTGCATGGAAAAACCACGTTGATAAAGTGAATGAACATTGTAAATGGGATAAGTGCACAACTTTCACCCAGATAGGGTCTTCCTTCCACGCATCTAAGCCGACACCGTAAGGTAGATCCTCTAACTGTGACGCACAACTGTTTTTTTTCGGCGAACTGCAGTGGTCCCTTGATTAGCATCTACCCAATGACGGCAATCAAAGCATCCCTGTATCGGATGATAGATACATGCATATTTGCACGTGGATTAGCATGACCTCACTACCAGCGCTTTCAAAGTGTTCAACAGTCCCCTTACCTCTTCTCCGTCGAACGAGAGTTTTAACTTGGTCCGATAACGACAGAAATTATTGATTTCTAGAGTCGGGTTTCTGAAACGCAGATTACGAGGTCTGATAACGTAAGTAGTCTCCCTTTGCCATGAGCTACGTAAGTGACAACTTTCCGAGTAACTTGATATACAATATAAAAAGAACAAAGTTCGAGGAATTGAAGGAGAGGGAAGAGAATTGATTGGATAACACTGACCAATTTGAAATTAAAAGCTGAACCTTAAAGCTGATCCGGCCAGTATTTCGAGTTGATTAGACTAACCTCAGGGAAAGAGTCTTGCGTTTTTTTTTCTACTTTTAGAACAACACCGAATTCTCTTTCTGTTATTTTTATCCTAATATTTTATATACCCATTGCAAACTGTTCGTAAATGGCTTAAACTTCACTCTTGCCCTGGAAAAAGCGTTTCTTGATTTGACTTGTATTGTCAGTTTGATCATGTAGACATATGCAATAAGTTGATATGGAAAAATATTTTTTCGTAAAATCGGTCACACTACCTCTCCCCTATTTATGCTTGTTTTTCCCAACCATACAGAGTCAGCTGATAAAGCACCTCTTGTCTTGCTGCAAGCTCGTGACTATCCGTCCGAGACACATACAATTCGTCAGGCGGCAGCTCTCAGCAGGTCGCTTGTGACCAAAACGGATCGTCACAATGGTGAACATCCACATGCTAGAGAAAGTGTAAAGCCCCAACGGTGTACTGAACCCAGAAGTGATTAGAATTGAAAAGGCCCAATGTTTATGATTTCTCTCCAACGCACTGGTCGAATTGAGTCGCCAGGCTCCGATAAGTGAACTCCGTCAGTGAGAACGTCCCAGCACAAAACATTCTTGGACTTAGTCAAATGACGTTGGAAACCGGGAGAACAGAGATAAAATCAGCTCTATACGACTCAATACGACTCTAAGCAGGTGGAAGCGAATCGATTTGTTTCAATGCAAACTACAAGTTTTCAAAATAGCCTGTCACCGAGAAGTTATCGGTCAATATAGAACCGCAAATCCACGAAGGTGAGTGCATTTTACATTCATCTTTGATTAGTCAACACAAGATGACGAACGGAAAGGAGGAAACGTAGTCATACAGACCTATCGCTGTTTGAGGAGAACTCAGAAGGTAAATTGGGGAATCACATAAGGCTTCGTTTTTAGCCGGAAACTGTATATGCTTTTAAAGCCTCGTGCTTCAAACCAATGGTCTGACTGCCGCAGCGCTTCTCCCAGCCTTAACCGGCACGTGCAAAGAGAGCACGGAAAGACAGTCGGGTGGACAGGCATACGCAATACGTGACCAAGCTATCGGAGGCGGTGTAGAGCGTTTACTTCTGTTAGAGAACGACTATCCACACCCAACACAACAAACCTCGGCATTACTCACCCAGTGTTCTCACCAGACACAAGCAATGCTTCGGAGACATCAGTGGTCAAATAAAGAAAGTCCATTAGCATCCTTAACGTGAAGGGGCCAGGTCTTGCAATCGTAAAGTAGAACGCTACGAACCACGGCGATGTACACCCTTCCTTAAAGGGACAGTCGGATGTCGTAGGTTGGCAAAAGCTGCTCTAGCTCTCGATATTCGTGATGTGATTTCGTTTCCAACACCACCATCAGCTGCGATCAAGATCCCGAGGTACTTAAAGTTATCAACTACGTCCAGCTGATCACCACAGAGGGTGAGTGCAGACACAGGCTCCTGACAGTCTTGAACAAGCACTCTGTACTTGGAAGGTTCAAAGAACATGCCACACCTGGATATCTCTATCGCCAAGCGTTTTGGACTAGACTATCAGAGGATAAGATTGAAATATTTTCAAAGTGAATGGCAAGAGAACCACACCAAATCTATCTGTGTAACTCACCCATACGTATCAGTGTGGCATCCGTTTCTGCCTGAAACAGAGAAGTGGAGATGAACATCCGTGAGCGGGTCAACTACAAGTGATTCAACCGGTCTGCGGAAGTATTGTTCTAAAAGCTTTGCAATCTTTTGCTTCGACCTCCCACTGATTTACTCACTCAATTAGCTGTTCGAAATGAAACGAGACATATGAAAAAATGTTGGAAACACTATGCGATAAGTCTATTGATTTTTTTTTTTTTGGGGGGGGGGTTATCGATATGATCAACATCATTCTTTATCCTCACTACAACCAAATGCCGAATAAAACTACTAACCCAAGAGTAACCATCATGCAGCAATCGATACCATGCCTCATGTGTCCTAGTACGTGCTATCGAGTGCGTTCTCAGGTCGCATACAAGAGAACGATTGCTGATTCGCGGCCAACAATAGACAAAGAGGATTTTATTTTGCCGAAGAAGCGGTGCAGGATGACCAGTGGTAGTGCTCCAGGGTGTATTTGGTTTTCCTCACACTAAAACTAACTGAGACAATCGACTACACACAGTCATTCCCTCCAGATGGTACAACTGGTTATAGTCTGATTCGGAACGACGCTATAGGCTTGCAGATGTAATCTGGTCATGCATTTTGGAAGAAAACCGCCAACCCTGGTATGGACAATTATGTAGATGAGGCTTACATCGACTTGACTAGACCAATAGTCCACTACTCAAACAACCATGATATCACGCCTAATCTAGCGGGGCCTTATGTGGTTCACCACTCCAGGTCCTGAGGCTTCAGTTGCCAGTTTCCATCACTGAACAGCAAGCAGGTCTTCGTGACTATGGGATTACACCCCATCTGCTGTTCATCACACAAAACGGTGTATAATAAACAAAACTCAATAGCACACGTAGTGCGCATAACCTCTTTGAAAATGTACGAACGAGAACGATTCAACTTACCGAGGCGACTGGTGGAGGAACTAAATCTTTCAGAACAGTTTTTAAATGTAATTCGTCCAGAATCACATGGAATGAACCTGTAGAGTAACCGTGATTGTACAGAGAAAAACAGCGAAATTCAATATTATTGCGCAAGACATTTACTTGAATATCGTAAACGTATTCAATACGGGAGAAAGGGAGATTCCGCCAGTCGGTCCTAGTTGGAGGGCAACACTGATGGAATCCATCAAGTAGGTCCGGTTAGCTTTCCTAAATGAATGCATCTGATTGTGTTGTCTCAACTGTAATTCTGGTGCCTCTTCCAACCGATTTGCTAGAAACAGAGGGATCGGAGACTCCATTTCGGTAGACACTACTGCAACAAGTTGGTGCTCATATCCATGTGCTGTTGCTAGTTGGTCAGCATTTGCCAGTGCTTCACTCAATCCTGTGCAGAACACTTTTCACCCGTGGAATGATTAGGTGAACTTCGGGCGTCCATTCTCAGACATACTTTTTTCTTCCAACTGTTATGCAGAAAAAGTGAACCACATGGTCGCGAGAAACGCCTATTCAGTCATGTCAACTGACAATTCAAGCCCTCAAGATAAGAGAGAGAGAGGAGCCACAAAAGTAGGGTATAGTTGAATCTGAGTGGGGGTGACGGTGAAGCTATGGAATCTTCCCTTGGAGCACCTGATCTGTCTGATCCGAATAATACACTCTGTAACCCCAGTACTTGCAGCGATAGATCATATTGAGCCCCCCACCCACCCAAATGAGAAGCTTAAAGATAGATATACCAACAACATGCGAGCTAGCGACGTTCGATTGTCGACAGAGACGTCTGACAGAACAGTCGATACATACCGGACGGTGATTCAGCTCAGAATTGCAATACAGTGTGAGTGCACTAATGGAAATGTGTAATGGAGGTGGCTCTCCTACCGGCCTGACAACACATTCAAGCATGGGCATAGTCGGATTAGAATCAAAGTAAGACAATCTAGAAAATCCGATAGTTGGCCAACACAGCATTCATATGACTTAACCGATGGTGATACACCGCACCTCTCACTCACTCAGGCACACACACACACACACGTGCGTGGAGAGACAGAGAGCTCTACAACAATTATCAGTCAGCAGGAATGAAGAGAACGATTTGTTACGGCCTGTTGTACATAACCGTTTGAGTAAAACGAGTGACACAGAATGTACAGGGTTGATATTGGGCGGCGATGTCCCATTGGTAACGTCATTAAATTAGCACCCCGGGGACGTGTGTTCGAATATCATCATTACCACAGTCACCTGACTTTTCCCTTTGATTGTCCGCTTTCCCCTTCCTTACAGTTGTATCAGTAAGTAATCTTAATTATGCCATTACAACACAATAAATATGACTAGTATCAAAAAAGGATTTACAAGGAAAAAAGGGAGGGAAAGTAATTAAAGTATTCAACAGTTTGTTTCATAATAGGTCCCCAATTATCACTTGCTCCGATGTTTCATGACTGGCCATGGGAGCTTAAGTACTTTCACAAATTGTTGTGAAGATGGATGGAAACTGCCTCCGCTGTGACTAGAATGCGAAACTGCACGTGTCTAGACCGTCCTGTTTTAACCCTATACGGTGATCGGAACGCTTCGGTCATGTTTACAATGTGATTTGTGTCGACAAGGTGTGACACGACCGTACTTGGGATTGTCTTAATTACTCCACTTCGCAACTACCCTGGGGATGCGCTTGGACAGACGCCCGATCGTGCGGCTAATATACACATTATGAGCTCCGTGAGACTGTTTAAATATTGTGTGTTCAATGAAAGGAAGTAAAAATGGAAAAGACAAAAGAAAGACATTAGTCACTGATTTCGTAAGCTGTTACTCAGCTGTCCACACACATTGAATAGGTTGGAATGTTATAAGAACAACAAGATATACGAAAATTTAGATAATTACGGTAGGTCAAATGAGCGACGTTTGGCTGTTGCGTAATTACCAAAGACATTTGGATTTGACCGAAAGAACAAAGAACAAGGACATCACTCGAAAAAGCCCAGAAACGATTACACTGCGACAACTGATTAACTGCAAACGACAGAAACTGGAAATATCCATATTCGGCATTCTGCTCGTGAAATCCCAATCCATTTTATGTGCGTAGACAGCTGATTGAGAGCATGTGAAATTGTCGACCAATATAAACTGTCCGATGCAGCAGAACCAGTGAAACTAAACCAGACGCGGGGTGATAAGCTCTCAGACTAGCGTTGTCAGAGGAGACAAAGCGGAAAGGAGACAGACCACAATATCAATTAGACACGTAAGTTAAAGATCAGTTTAAGCAGGCCCAAAAATCAAACGGCAATAAACTATGCGGGAATCGAGGAGCTCAGCATTCGTTTGATATAGTCCAGTTGTTTAGTTGTTGTTGGAAGCTGAGAGCAGGAGAGAAAACGAAGTGGTGATGGAGGTGGATGTAGACTACCGAGAAATCAAGCAACGGAAATGAAGTGCACTATCGAGTCGGACAGATAAATCACGTCTCCCGTCCCTCCCCACTTCGAGGTGAATAATTACTGAATCCTGTGTGATTGAATGACCCACAAAATACGTGCTCCCTCACAAAAACACACATAAAATTACCCAAATAGCTCAATTTTTTCTAAAATAGAATAACTGAAGATTATAGTGAATTCGTGTAACTTAGATGGAGAACATCGAGGTGCCCCAATCTGAGGTGAACCGCATGCAAAATATCAATGATATATCCGATGGATTAGCACCAAATAAGACTGACAGGAAACGAGAGAAGCAGAATTAGCAGACACAAAAATCAACAGATTGATCTCAAAACCAACGGGAAATTTGTAGCATCTGGTCGGACCAAAGAAAGACACACGGTGGTGTCTAAACAGAGAGTAAATTGTGTTTACCTTGAGTCAATTGGGCCAGTACACGATAGATGAATACCTCCACGGCCAGTGAGATTACGGAACAGCGTATCCGATTGCTGGCCAAACTTTGAATGGTTTGATGAATATCACCCGGATCGCAGGTGGTCAGATTGGCCACGAGCACGATAATTTCGCTGTGATGTGGGGTGTATCTGTGTGAGTTCAATTGGTCAAAGAAATGATCGGATCAGAGAAAACAAACACGGAGGGAGACGACAAACGGCGGGGGGGGGGAGGAGGAAGGGAAATGATCAAAACGAGTTGCGCAAAGCAAAATACTTTCTAAAATTTATCTGAGATGAATGAATAAATAAATTAGCATGAGTGTGATAAGTCTGTGTGAAACTGTTAGGTTCGGGAAAAAGGCAAACCTTTGATGCATATTCGTTTTAAGAGAATGTCAGCTCTGACTAAGTGCGGTCTCACACCCGACCAACTTTTCACGTTAACATGCGGTGGACAAAAATCATCTTGCTAGTGGACTTGAAATACACGATCGCTATTGTCTGATCTGGTCCACCGAATGCGTGTTTGGAGGATAGGAATACTCTGAAACAAATTGATAAATAGCCAAAGGATAATTTTTTTGCTTAGTCCTGTTTTGAAATCGTCAATAAACTAGTGCAAGAGCTATTTTCTTAGACTTCTCCGATTCGTGCAACCTCGGCGGGAGGGAACTCAGTTTCATTGCTGAGGAAAAACAATATTCCGTGGACTAAACAAATTCGCGCGGCAACAGAGAAACACTGTACCGCATTCTAGTCACCTGTTTAGTTTAATTCATATCATACAACCACTGACTTTTCACTATTTTGAGCTAATTTGGATTGCACAATTGGGCTACCCAAATGACCGATCAACGAGAGCGAAAGGTTAAAAAAACTGAGAGTAATATCAAAATGGGAATACATAAATTAAATGAATGAGATTTGAGAAGAAAGTAAGTATATGAATGAGCAACACTGTCTAGGACGTTTAGCCCTATCCCAAGTCATTGATTTGTCATTCACTACCTTCTCGTAACGGAGGTGTCTTCCCCATCGAAGTGAGAGGACGAAAAGTCGACATACGAGACCATAACCGGGCTGGTGAACCACTGGTAGTTCATCTAGGGGAGTTGGCTAAAATCTCTGATTGCAAGCCAACCAGGAAGAGACCTCGGAACCACGCACATACCTTCCCGATCGGGATAGTGGTCACCGGCTCGATTGGGCATCGAGGTGTATTGGGCACCTTGGACGTTTGACTCCGATGCGATGAACTGGACACCGACCCCCAATAAACTGTGATTTTCACATACCGTCTCGCTGCCTTGCGGGTCCGGTTTGGGCTAGCCGAAGACTCCGAATGTAAACTCCCTAAGCAAATTCACCTGCTATCTTCTGGGTGAACTAGCAGAATCGTGCTCTTGTACCAATCACGGATCTTTTCCCCTTTTTAATAAAGATCATTGTAATACGATTTGTTTGGCAAACGATCTGGATTTAGGCGTGCGTGAAATACATACATTGCCCTATGAACAGTGTTGCCTAATGTGAACTTTGGTGCGGGATATCGTACCCTCATGCTACATCGAATTACGTTCACTCACGGTATTTCCCTATGCGCACACATCGGCAACCAGCGAACGCTGAAAAAGCTCATCCTTTTATTTGTGCAATCATCAGTGATGAAAACTCTCGTCGGGGCTCCTTTCTTCGGCAAATGTGGGTACCCAGGTTGATGATCCCATTCCACTGTCACATATTCAAGCTTTATTGCGTACCAATCGGAACTCCCCTCGATCAAATCACCTTAGAACCACAGTCCATGGAATAG